TGCAGTTTAAACTGTAGTGTAAAGCACCCTTCTGGCAAGACAGTGATGGAGTGAATGATGGTGAAAGTTTTTCTTTTTCGGGCCACCCTGCCTTGGTGGGAATCGGCCAGTGTGATAATAAATAAATAAAAAATATTTGCGTATCAAAACATTCGTGAATGCTGCAGTGCAGTATTATTATGCAGTGGACCCCCGACTTATGATGACTTCAACCTACGATAAAACCGACTTACGATGCTTGTCAGCATAAAAATTTGACCCCGACCTACGTTGAAAATCTCGATTTACATCATTCGTCCCGAACACGACTGTCTGGTCCGTCTGGCCTGAGTGCCTCAGCTGAGCTAGTGTGACATTGTTTACAAGCCAGGGCGGATGGCTGCACGCATACATTTGATAAATTTTGTATTATTCCAGTGTTTTTAATGCTTGCCACCATGGACCCAAAGAAAGCTTCTAGTGCCAACCCTGTGGTAAAAAGGGTGAGAAATACTATTTTACCACCATCAGCTGCTGCTTTAGCACTGTCAGCTGCTGCTGTAGCACTGTCAGCTGCTGCTGTAGCACTGTCAGCTGCTGCTGTAGCACTGTCAGCTGCTGCTGTAGCACCGTCAGCTGCTGCTGTAGCACCGTCAGCTGATGCTATACTACCATCAGCTGCTGCTATACCACGGTCAGCTGCTGCTGTACCACGGTCAACTGCAGCTGCTGCTGTACCGTCAGCTGCTGCTGTAGCACGGTCAGCTGCTGCTGTACCACTGTCAGCTGCTGCTGTACCACTGTCATCTGCTGCTGTACCACTGTCATCTGCTGCTGTAGCACCATCAGCTGCTGCTGTAGCACCGTCAGCTGCTGCTGTAGCACCGTCAGCTGCTGCTGTAGCACCGTCAGCTGCTGCTGTAGCACCATCAGCTGCTGCTGTAGCACCGTCAGCTGCTGCTGTAGCACCATCAGCTGATGCTGTACCACGGTCAGCTGCTGCTGTAGCACCGTCAGCTGATGCTGTACCACGGTCAGCTGCTGCTGTACCACAGTCAGCTGCTGCTGCTGCTGTACCACAGTCAGCTGCTGCTGCTGTACCACTGTCAGCTGCTGCTGCTGTACCACTGTCAGCTGCTGCTGCTGTACCACTGTCAGCTGCTGCTGCTGTACCACTGTCAGCTGCTGCTGTACCACTGTCAGCTGCTGCTGTACCACCGTCAGCTGCTGCTACACCATGGTCAGCTGTACTACAAGAAGATGTGGAGAGACTGTTGTCGGTGTGGCTTATCAAAAATACCGAGAAACAATTAACCCCAGAGGGTTAGCAACCCAGGATAACCCAAGAAAATCAGTGTGTCATCGAGGACTGTCAAACTTATTTCCACTGGTCTTTAATCTTGTCCCCCAAGATGCGATCTCACCAGTTGACTAACACCCAGGTGAACAGGAAAAAATGCCAAGAACTAGTGCTCATATTGGTGAATTTAAGGCCAGCAAAGGTTGGCGCTTGAGAGATTTAAGAATCGTAATGGCATACACAGTGTGATAAGACCTGCTCTGGAAGAAAATGCCAAACAGGACCTACATTACTCAGGAGGAAAAGGCACTCCCAGGATACAGTGTCTCATCACTCATCACCGCATCTTCAATAATGGTAAGTGTCATTTCTTCTTCATTTAGTACACTAGTACATGCACAATATATATACTGTGCATGTATCCTTCTTTTTAAGTGTAGGAAAATGTATATTTCATGTGGTAAAATTTTTTTTTTTCATACTTTTGGGTGTCTTGAACAAATTAATTTGATTTCCATTATTTCTTATGGGGAAAATTAATTCGACTTACGATAATTTCATCTTACGATGTGCTCTCTGGAATGGATTAATATCATAAGTCAGGGGTCCACTGTATTTCCCTACATCATATCTGCACACTAAACATTTGCGAATTTTCAAGATTCGCGAGGTTCTTGATCCCCTAACCCTCGCGAATGTGGAGGGCCTCCTGTATACAGTGGACCCCGGATATCGGCAGGTGCGGAAATCGAGCACTTCTTTCGGCAAAATTCCCCCCAGATATCGGCCATCCACTCGGAAATTGTTGGTACGAGACGAGCCCACCCGCCGGCAATGCGCTTCCTCACTTGTATCACTCAGTCTGCCTGTCTCTCTCATTGGGTTAGGAATACTCTGAGCTTTCATTCATCGTTTTTGGTGCTTGTTTATTGATTGCAACTGCGAAATAAGTCACCGTGGGGCCAAAAAAAGTTCAGAGTGCCACCCCTTTGGTAAAGAAGGTGACAAACACGATAGAATTCAAGAAAGAAGTTATCACAAAATATGAAAGTGGCATACATGTGGCAGAGCTGGCCAGGATGTATGGGAAATCTACATTAACAGTCAGTTCCATCCTGTTGAAGAAAGCAGAAATCAAGGAAGCTGATGTTGCGAAAGGTGTAAATATGCTAATGAAACAGAGGTCTCAAACAATCGAGGATGTGGAGTAGTAGTAGTAGTTGGTGTGGATCAACCAAAAACAATTAGCAGGAGATAGAGTTTCAGAGGGGATAATTTGCGAGAAGGCAAGGCAGTTGCATGCGAATCTCGTAAAGAAAATGCCGGGAACGAGGCTGCTGATAGTGAATTTAAGGCCAGTAAAGGCTGGTTCGACAGATAAGAAGTGTAGTTGCATAAACAGTGTTGTAAGGCATGGTGAGGCTGCAAGTTCAGACAAACGTCCAGCTGAAGAATTTGTGCATGAATTCAAGGATTCCTCCCTCAACAAGTGTTCAACTATGACGAAACAGGCCTCTTTTGGAAGAAAATGCCAGAGAGGACCTACATCACGCAGGAGGAAAAGGAATTGCCAGGACACAAGCCTATGAAGGATAGGCTAACTCTTTTGTTCTGTGGTAACACTAGTGGGGATTTCAAAGTAAAGCCTTTACTCATGTATTACTCTGAAAAACCCAGTGTGTTCAAGGAAAAAATGTCATCAAGAGTAAATTGTGTGTGATGTGGAGGGCTAACAACAAGGCATAGGTCACGAGGCTACTTTTCACTGAAGGGGTCAATGAAGTGTTTGGCCCGAGTGTGAATACCTCCTGGAAAATAAACTGCCACTCAAGTGCCTCCTGATACTGGCCAATGCTCCTGCTTATCCTCCAGACTTGGAAGACCTATTGTTTGAGGAGTGTAAGTTCATCACAGTGAAGTTCTTGCCCCCTAATACCACTCCTCTTATCCAGCCCATGGACCAGCAGGTCATTTCAAACTTCAAAAAACTGTACACCAAAGCAATGTTTCAAAAGTGCTTTGAAGTGACCCCGGACACTGAACTGGCCACTGTATAAGCCTTATAGATAAGGCTTGGCAGGGAGTGACTTACAGGACTTCGAACTCTGCTTGGAGAAAATTGTGGCAAGAATGTGTCCTCGACAAGGATTTTGAAGGGTTTGAGGCTGACCCTGACGACTCTACACCTATTGTGGAATGTATTGTGTCTTTGGGGAAGTCCATGGGGTTAGATGTGAGTGGCCAGGATGTGGAAGCTGGTGGAGGACCACAGGGAAGAGCTAACCACTGAAGAACCACTTCAATAAAGGTATGTAATGTTCATCTATTTAAATTACTGCTTTATATTTCTTTCCCATTGTTTTCTGTATGTAAAACTATAGGTATTCTTTAAAAAATGTATTTTTTGTTAATATTTTTGGGGGTCTGGAACGGATTAATTGGATTTACATTATTTCTCATTGGAAATATTACTTTGGTTTTTGGCCATTTCGGATTTAGGCCAACCTCCTGGAACGGACTACGGCTGATAACTAATTCTATAAAAACCAGCTCTGAAAGGAGAAGGATAGAAAGAAATGTAAGGTATTGTACTGCAAGTACCATAATACATAATGGAATTAATAATGAAAAATAGATTTGTAATAAACAAATTTATTGTAAACAGAATTAATACATATTTTCGAGTGTATGTATCCAACAACATGAATTGTAACATGCATGTATTGCCAATAGAGCTTAAAAAAAGTGAGTAATAAAAGTTTTGAGGTATAAAAAATACATTCTGCAGAGGAGCCTCAAGGCTCACCTGGAACACAACCAACTCATATTAACACCCAATATAATACTCTCTTCTCTAGGTCCAGTAGGGACTCTCAGTTTGCTTCACTCAGTAATGGTTTTCTGTGGCTCTTCTTCACAAGCCAATGCTTTTTGGTTACACCCACAGGCTTCCTGAGGTCAGTTTCAGCTCTTGACAGTCACTTAAATGGGAAATAAAACAGCTGGGGATGGAAAATCTATGTGGGCTTCCAGGCCTCTAATAGTTCTACAGTTTACCAAGCTCCTGATGCAGAAATGCATTTTCATACCTCAAAATATGGAATCTTCATCAGAGATGGTAAGGAATGCTGGGAATAATAATAATAATAATAATATCTTTATTTACTACAAGTACATGTACATGGTATACAGGCCTAGCTGTACTACTATATAGAAAGCCGCTCGTTATGCTGAGCATTTCGGGCAAATTAGGTCAGTTTTGTCCCAGGATGCGACCCACACCAGTCGACTAACACCCAGGCACCCATTTTAAACTGATGGGTGAACAGGGACAGGGACAGCATACCTATATGACTCAGTGTGAACCACTGAGTCTCTGCCATTTAGAGCCCAAGTTCAAACTTACCATGACCTAAGCTTTGTGTATCAGCTAGAAGCAAACAGCAAACACTGTCTAGCACAAACCAGACAAAGCTAATGAATAAAAAGTATTAAATCAGCCAAGTCTTGGATAAGGAAAGCCTTGGCAGTGTTGTGGAACTAGGTACTGCTGTAGATGACCATGTTTTGAGTTTAACTGACTGTCATAGTCAGACCTACAGAGTGGAATATTAGTTGTACATGTGTTGACCATATTCCAGGTTTGCCTCCAAGGCCCCTGCACACAAACCAGAGCCCTATTTTATACTTTTAACTGTACATCATTTATTTTTATCCTTACCTGAGCAGTGAAATCCCACCCATCTTCCAACAGCACCATAACGGATGCACCAAGCAGGTCTATAAGATCTACTATGGCCCCAGAAACCTGAAGAAGAGATTCTAGCTGGTTCAGCCACTCGCTGTTTTCAATGGCTCTGCAATTTAGGGACAGAAAAGATATTGCTTTAATTCCTTCTTCACACCATATACAATGCTTAATATCACTAGTTTAAAGGTATGCTATCACAGACACACAATAAAATTTATCATATTTAGTAATGTTAGTTAAGAGATCATGCTGGGTATTAATATCCAGTCTAGTACACAAACTATAGTATAGATATGGAAAATATGAAATAAAACCAAGAAATAAAGTGTCCTATGAAACAATATATCATTACCAGAAAGCAGAGGAACAAATTATAATGAAAAAATTGGGGGCACTTACATTACTGGACAATAGTATGGATTGCATTAACAGTTTAATGTACAATGTTGAAACTCATCAAGATATGAATTCGTATGTATATGCATTACTTAAATAAAGCAATGCATATTTTCAACTAAATAATAATTCTCTCACTTGGACTGCCTTTTGAAGCAACTGCTAAATCAGAAGTGTTTATAGTAACTGCACAGTTTTCTTTTTTAACCATAATCAAATGGTGCATAAGAAAACTAGTAATGAAAAGTGGCTGGTATTATAAAAATGGCATAAAATGTTATTTTCAGGAACAGAAAACAAGTAACATACCCATTAGCCATAGAAAACCAAGATCTACTATATACAGTGGAACCCCGGTTTTCGTCTTCAATCCGTTCCAGAAGGTTGGCCGAAAACCAATTTGTACGAAAACTGAAGTAATATTTCCCATAAAAAACAATGTAAATCCAATTAATCCATTCCAAACACCCAAAAATATTAACAACAATTTTATAGAGAATAATTATAGTTTTACATACAGAAAACAATGAGAAATAAATATAAATGACTAATGAAATGGATAAATGAGCATTTAACATCACTTTTACCTTTATTGAAGACTCTTGTTAGCGTATGGAAGACAGTGAGGAGGGGAGAGGGAGGAGAGGTTGTTTGGAAGGGGAATCCCATTCCATAAGGACTTCATGTATCAAAGCTCTATCCGGGGTTACCTCCTTTCTTTGTCTTTTACTGGGACTAGGACCAGCTTGAGAGTCACTGGACCCCTGCCGCACAAAAAATCTGTCCAGAGAGGCCAGTTTCTGGTGGCTCTAAGATTTGCTTAAAATGGGACACGGCATTATCATTGAACATGTTGCTGACACGGCTTGCAGCAGCTTTGTTAGGGTGATACTGCTCCACAAAACTTGGCATTTCACTCCACTTTGCACAAATGTCCTTAATTGCTGAAGAAGGCACATTCTTCCCTCCCTCTTCCTCCTCCTCCTCCTCCTCTGAAGCAATTTCCTCAGCTAAAGTCTGTTGCTGTTCCAGATGAAGGTCTTGCAGCTCTTCAGTGGTTAGTTCTTCCCTGTGGTCATCCACCAACTCTTCCACATCCTGGCCACTCACCTCCAACCCCATGGACTGCCCCAAAGACAATAGATTCCACAACAGGTGTAGGGTAATCAGGGTCAGCCTCAAACCTTTCAAAATCCTTTTGGAGGATACATTCTGGCAACAATTTTCTCCAAGAAGAGTTAATCGTCCTGGAAGTCACTTCCTGCCAAGCCTTATCTAAAAGGCTTATGCAATTGAGGATACTGAAGTGATTCCTCCAGAACTCTCTTATGGTCAATTCAGTGTCCAAAGTCACTTCAAAGCACCTTTGAAACACTGCTTTGGTGTAGAGTTTTTTGAAGTTTGAAATGACCTGCTGGTCCATGGGCTGGATGAGAGGAGTGGTATTAGGGGGCAAGAACTTCACTGTGATGAAACTAAACTCCCCCAACAATTGGTCTTCCAAGTCTGGAGGATGAGCAGGAGCACTGTCCATTACTGGAGGCACTTGAGTGGCAACTGATTTTCCAGGAGGTATTTCTCCACATTTGGGCCAAACACTTCACTGACCCACTCAATGAAAATTTGCCTCGTGACCCATGCCTTATTGTTAGCCTTCCACATCACACAATTTATTCTTGATGACGTTTTTCTTGAACGCTCTGGGATTTTCAGGGATACACCAGTAAAGGCTTCACTTTGAAATCCCCATTAGCGTTACCACAGAACAAGAGAGTTAGCCTGTCCTTCAAAGGGTTGTGTCCTGGCAATGCTTTTTCCTCCTGCGTGATGTAGGTCCTCTTCGGCATTTTCTTCCAAAAGAGGCCTGTTTCGTCACAGCTGAAGACTTGTTGGGGGAGGAATCCTTCAACCTCTATGTATTCCTTGAATTCATCAACGAATTCTTCGGCCCCACATTTGTCCAAACTTGCAGCCTCGCCATGCCTTACCACACTGTGTATGCCACTTTGCTTCTTGAATCTGTCGAATCAGCCTTTGCTGGCCTTAAATTCACTATCAGCAACACTCGTTCCAGGCATTTTCTTTACGAGATCCACATGCAACTGTTTTTGGTTTATCCACACCAACAACAACTCAACATCTTCAATTGTTTGCAATCTCTGTTTCATTAGCACAACATAAGTTCCTTGATTTCTTTATTCTTTGCCAGGATGGAACTGATCATTGATTTGGACTTTCCATACATCCTGGTGAGCTCGGCTACATGTACACCACTTTTGTATTTCTCTACAAGTTCTTTCTTGAAGTCTATCGTGTTTCTCACTTTCTTTACCTAAAGGCTGGCTTATTTAGCAGTTGCAAGCACAAAAAACAATGGATTATTACAAAATGTTTCAGATGAACATGCAAAGTAATGCTCACTGAAAGAGTAACAAAGGCAGACTGAGTCACGAACGTATGAGCAGCCATGTCCCACGGACACGTCTGGTATGTCCTGATTTCCAAGCAGATGTACAAAAAACGGGGAAAATTTCACCTAAAAAAGTGGTTGAAAACTGAATTGTACAATAACCAGACCAGACGAAAACTGGGGTTCCACTGTACCATTGAAAAAATGCATAAAAAGAAGGAAATTTGGATGCCATGGGGTAAGACTCCCTGTCAAAGACCACAACCTTTGGACAGTGGTGTACCACAGGGAAGTGTTCTTAGCCCCTCCTTTCCCTTTAAATGTTCCAAAACCAAGGGCTGGCATGCAAGACACAACGAGGTCAACAACATCATAAAGAGAACCCTTGCTACAGCTGGATGCCCGCTGAGAGGGAGCCCCGTCACTAGCAACAATACCCCAAACCAGCAAACTGCCCAATGGAATCACCATCTATCCCTGAAAGAATGGCAAGCCTTAGATGGGAAATATACTGTGTGTAAAACTGGCGACACCTAAATCCATCAACAGTGTCGGGTTTACAGGAAGAGCTGACAAAAAGGAGGAGTAAAATCAGCAATACAGGGGCATAAGCAAACAATATCAATTGTCCAGTGGATCAGAGACCCTAGGATCAGGAAAAACATGCCACACTTTCCTTAAAGAACTGGTTTCCAGACGTCAAACACGCCAGGACCCAAGGCACAAATTTTATGTTCAGCGCTCAGTGGCTATCCAGAAAGGGAAATACATGCTGTATACTGGGCTGCGTCCAGCTTTGGAGGAGCTGGAGGTCGTAACTTTGATATATTATCCAATGTAATCAGTTTCATTTTCTGTCAATGTATTCTGTCTATTAAAAAACTTCACATTAGCTTAAAATTTTCAGGGGTGGTAGGAGAAGAAAAATTCAAACAGCTCCAGGGAGAAACCCTTTAGTTTTCTCTGAAGTACACTTTTGTCTTCTCTGAGGATGGGGTCCCCAGTCCAGTTCTAGAGGTGTAAAGGTAGAAAGTTGAAATTGAACATAGCCAAAGAGTAAGGTGATGAGGGTATCAAATGATTTTTAGATAAAGAAAACAGGATATTTAAATGAGGAGGGGAAGTATGGAAGAAGTGAATGTATTCAGATACTTGGGAGTTTATGTGCGGGGGATGGATTTATGAAGGATGAGGTTAAACACAGAATTGACGAGGAAAAAAGGCGAGTGGTGCATTGGGGCTATATGTGGAAAA